CTTTGTATTGGTGCTATTTTGGCCGATATACAATTAATACTTAATGAATTATTTATTTCAGTTGCTTATCTCTTAAATGTTAGATAGTTGATGATGAACGATTACGAAATGTTAAGAATGTTCAGCAAGTATGATTAAAAAAATATTTCAAATTTTCCGCTAAAATTAATCTATGTAAGGTAAGAATGACGTAAGTAGGCTTGTCTGCGACCTCTGAGAGGTCAACGACGCCGGTCTCGTCTGGGGTCTAGATTCCGGTCGTGACAAGGAGTATCAATAGGTTTTGAATAAAACATATTGAATTTCTTCAACAGCTCCTTAATGTACTTCTCCTGACTGATTGAGATTCCATATGATGATTGCTTGATTTGTAGACCAAGGAAGAACGTCAATTTACCCATCATGCTCATCTCGAATTCCTTTCCCATTAATGATGAGAATTCTTCACACAAATGTTCTGATGTGGCTCCAAAAATTATATCATCCACATAAACATGAATAATAAGCAATTCTTGTTCTCTTTTTAATAAGAACAAGGTATTGTCTATTTTTCCTCTTTTGAACCCATTTTTCAATCGAAACTTTGACAGCCTTTCATACCATGCTCTAGGAGCTTGTTTCAAACCATACAAAGCCTTATTCAATCTGAACACATGATCTGGTAGCTCAGCATCTTCAAACCTAGGAGGTTTTTTAACAAACACCTCCTCTTTCAGGTCACCATTTAGAAACGTACTTTTGACATCCATTTGATACAACTTGAAACTCATGAATGCTGCAAAAGCTATTAGAATTCTGAAGGCCTCCATCCTTGCAACAGGTGCAAAAAATTCATCATTGTCTATTCCTTCAAGCTGATTGTATCCTTGAACAACTAATCTGGATTTGTTTCCAGTAATCACGCCATTTTCATCAAGCTTGTTTCTGAAAACTCATCTGGTTCCTATCACTGTTCTGCCAACAGCTCGAGGAACCAGGTACCATACCTTGCTTCTTTCAAACTGGTGAAGTTCTTCTTGCATTGAGTTGATCCAGTCTACATCACCTAATGCCTCTTTCACATTCTTAGGCTCAATAGATGATATGAATGCTGAGAATGCAACTAGATTCCTTATTTTTGATCTAGTGTGAATTCCAGAATTCAAAGGAGAAATAAGATTATCAAGAGGATGTGATGAACTATGTTACCATCCTGGTGTCAAGGTAGACTTGTTCAGCTGATCAGCATGTTCTTCTTCTTCAATGAGCTCATCATTTTCTGGAGAGTTTGAGGTACTCTGGCTGGAATTCAGAGTAGTACCAGGTCCCTCATCACACTTTTCAACTTCATCAGTTTTTCAGATAGACTATCATTATCATTATCATTGTCCTTCCTCAGCTGATCATTTGCACCAGCTTCACTTCCTTCAATTTTCTGTGAATTGAACAGCTTAATCAACTCATCTTCATCATTTGATGCATCACTTTTCAAATTTCCATCTTCATCAAACACAACATGAATGCTTTCTTCAATACATTGAGTTTTTTTGTTGACAATTCTATATTTTACTTGATGAAGAGTATTCAACAAACACTCCTTCATCACTTCTAGGATCAAATTTCCCAGATCATCTTTTCCATTGTTCAACACAAAACATTTGCAACCAAAATCCCTAAGATAACTCAACATAGGTTTTCTGTTATTGAGCAACTCATAGGGAGTCTTATTCAATACAGACCTTATTAGACACCTGTTAGTAACATGACATGCTGTGTTGACAGCTCAACCCGAAAACTTTGAGGAAGATTTGACTCAATAATCATGGTCCTGACAATGTTCACTAAAGTTCTGTTTTTTCTTTCCACCACACCATTTTGTTGAGGAGTTCTTGGAGCAGAAAAATTATGACTAATACCATTCTCCATGCAAAATTGATCAAGTTTTGAGTTTTCAAACTCAGTTCCATGATCAGATCTAATTCCAACAATCACTTGATTCAATTTTGTTTGAATCATTTTGAAGAACACCACCACTTCTTCAAGTGTTTCTTCTTTTGATCTTAGGAATCTTGTACATGTGTATCTTGAGTAATCATCAACTATAAACAGAATGTATTTCTTACCATTTCTGCTTTGAACCTTCAAGGGTCCACATAAATCCATGTGTAACAGCTCTAGTACTCTTGATGATGTTACTTGTTTCTTTGACTTGAAGGATGATCTGATTTGTTTTTCTTTGACACACGCTTCACATATTTTGTTTTCACTAAACTTTAACTTTGGAAAACCTAGGACCAGGTCCTTAGAAATCAGTTTATTCAATAAAGATGAGCTCACATGCCCTAGTCTTCGATGCCAAAGATCAACATTTTCATTTTGAGCACTAAGACATGTCAGATCATCTCCATGAGATGTTTCCCAGTTAGCCATATACATGTTTTTTACTTCTAAAGGCAGTAAGAATCACTTTCTTTGTGGTTAGATTAACCACAGTGCACTTCTCAGAAGTAAACTTGACTTCATTTCCCTTGTTACAAATTTGAGATACACTCAAAAGACTGTACTTCAAACCACCGACATGATACACATTATCAATTGATTCTTCAAGAGATTTTCCCACTTTACCAACTCCCAAAATGTACCCCTTATTTCCATCACCAAAAGACACACCTCTTCCTTGAAGTGTCTTGAGTGAGAGGAAATTTTTGGTGTCACCAGTCATATGTTTAGAAAATTCGTTGTCTATATACCAATATTGATTGCTGCTCCTCTCACTCACCTGCAACAAGAATCACTTGTTAGGCTTGGGAACCAATTTCAATTTGAGTTCCTAGAAGGCAGACAAGGGAGTGATCAGATTGTTTCTAGTCCAATAGGGTAGTTTTTGAATCTTTTTGACAAAAGATTTTTGAGTAGAATCAAATTGTTTTCGGGGACCAGGTCTCTTTTTTGATACTCTTTGCTTCTCTGTATAATTAAAGAGTCTTTCATGAGATTTTCTTCAGCCAGTACACTCTTCTTTTAAATGCCCATTTTTACCACAGTGAAGACAAAGCAGATTTTCAGACACAATAACATACTTGTTGTGAGTATTAAATGGAGGAGTAATATTCAAACTTCCTAGACCCTTCTTATTGAAATTACTCTGATTTGTTACACTTGACAGCAACTTAGATGATTTTGTCCACTTAAGAGATTTTTCAAGTTCTTCCTTACGTTTGACAATATCCTTTTCTAAGTTGCTGCTCTTCTCCAAGGCCAACCCAAGATTTTTTTCAGAAAATTTTCAGTTTTTCTTCAATTTCAACTTGTAAACCATTTGACCTTCCATTTAGCTTTTCAGCTTGTTCATTTATTTGAGACAACTGTTTTTAAGTTCAGTCTTGTCAGATTCTAGAGAAGCCATTTTATCTTCCATTTTCAACATTTTCTCTTCCAATTTAACTTTATTTTCAGTTAAACTGTCAAGCTCAGCATTCATAATGGTTCTTTCAGAGGTTAACTCAATTACTGAATCAATCATAACATTTGCTAATGTTCTCAATTTTTTAAGAGAATAAATATTTAGATCATGTTTTATATCAAGAAGAGTTACCTTGTTCTCCTCTTCTTCATTTTCTGAATGAGCCATGAAAGCAAACATTTCATTGAATATGGTTTCCTCTTCATGAACCACCACCATTGACACATCATTTGGTTCATCAGGATCTTCTGAGTCACTTGAAGAGTCTCCCCATGCAGTAAGAGCCTTTTTGACCACATAGTCAGCTGCAGCTTTACGATCATTTTTATTTAGTACCAGGTCCCTTCTCTTCTCTCTATCACCTCTTCGTTTTTATATTCTTTATTTTCAGTCTTGAGTAAAGGACACTCTCTTATAAAGTGCCCAGTTTTCCACATTTGTAACATGTATCATTTTGAGTGGCAGTTCAAGGACCATTTGCTCCCCTTTTAAAACCTTTGTTCTTTCTAACAATCTTTTGAAATATATTGATGAGGTAAGACATATCATCATCACTAGAGTCCTCTTCAGATTTGTACTTCAACATCAAGGACTTATCCTTTTTGACTTCCTTCTTTGACTGATCATGCTTTTGATTCATCTCATGAGTCTTCAGATTTCCAATGAGAGCATTCATTGTCAGCACTTTCAGATCTTTTGCTTCAGTAATAGAATCAACCGTGCTTTCCCAAGACTTTGGAAGGATTCGAAGCACTTTCATGACTTGCTTGCTCATGCTGATAGGTTCTACAAGGCTTCTCAACTCATTGGTAATGGAGGACAATTTAGTGAACATCTCATGAATGTTTTCTCCTTCTTTCATCTTGAATTTTTCATACAAAGAAGTAAGCATATCAATCTGACTCTTTTACTTGTTCAGTTCCCTCATGAGTTGTTTTCAAGCAGTCCCAAGTTTCTTTTGCAGACTCACAGGCTGAGACACGATTCAAATCATCTGGCCCTATCCCAAAGACAAGAATAGTCTTTGCCTCGTAACCTTTTTTGATCTTCTTCCTATCAGCTTCATCATATTTTTGTCTAAGCTTTGGAACAAGCCTAGTTTTTTCTCCATCTTTTTCTTCAATCATTGTAATAAATGGTCCATCTAAGACAATGTCCCATACCTCACTATCTTCAGCCATGAGGAAATCATGCATTCTAACTTTCCACCAACTGTAGAAGTGCCCATTGAAACAAGGAGGTCTGGTTGAAGATTGTCCTTCTTCTAGATTAAGTGGAGCAGTCATCCTAGAACAGATATCACTTTCTTGGTGTGAACCAGATAGAAAGTGCCCGCTCTAATAACACTTGTTAGAATATATGCGTCCACTTATCAGTCAATGGACCAGGTCCCTTGACACACAAACAAGTATGAACAGAAAGTAAATGCAGTTTAACAACACAACAATTTTACGTGGAAACCTCTTTTCTTAAGGGAGTAAAATCATGACCTGTCTCACAGGATTTTCACAACTGTTTCACTAATCTTTGCAAGCAAAATTAAAACCAGTTACACAAATATGAGAAAAAGTTTTTAATCTCACGTTCAAGCAATAACTCTATTGCTTGATAAGCCTAAATAGAATTTATTCTACCCACTAAGCTATTCCTTCTAGACAACTTAGAATTTCGACACCACCACACTGATTCCTTTATAGATTTAGGAGTAGTTTACAATGTAAGACCACAAGAATATATTCTTAAACAACTACACGATATGCTCCTGGGTTTTCAGTTGTTGTTTGAATAATTCTTCACTTTAATTTTCTATAGCCTTTGCAAGTGTTCTTGAAACTACTTTGTCAAGTTGCAAAAACTAAGGAATGATGTTTAGGAAAGTGACCTTGTCTGGACAAGTCCCTTTCATTAAACTCTTGCCATTGGTTGGAGAGGTCTGACTTTTCTGACGCCGTTGGGAAATGTGCACCCATTTTCTGTACCTTCTCCAGCTAGCAGTCAACAAGCTATTCATGTTAAGACGCTGGTACCTTTACAAGGTCCCTGAGTTTGTTACATCATCAAAACTCATGTTGAGAACCTGGTTCCTTTACAAGGTCCCTGCGTTTGTCATATCATCAAAACTACAAATAACATGCCTCTTTGTGTATGTTTTATGCTTTAAGTACGTGAAACACTCTTGCCTATTACACTAATCTTTTCATATTCTATACTTATGAGTTTCATGATAAGTATAAACTATCATTTCACAATATCTCCCTTATTTTAGATCCTATTACTATATTCCTTTATGACCCTCCCTACTTTGCGATAGTGGTGTTGATAACAGTTGAATAATGATTATAGATGAGAAGATAGTAATTGCCTGTTATTGGTAAGATCAGGGTATGTTTATTTTGTCTAAGGTTATAAAAGTGAAGGGAGATCAAAGATCTATTGTATGAAATATTTAGATAAAAAATCATGGTGTGTCTCCGGACAATAATATTTGAAAATTTTACCTATGATTAGTCCTTCAAAATATTATAAGAGTTTCATCTTAAAATCTTTAAGCAAAAGAGAAATAATTTCATGTCATAGTTAATGCTCTTCAAATCTATGCTAATTTTTATGCTCTTAACTCATGCTTTTAAATCCTTATTTTTTATTGCTAGATCCCTATTGTTGGTAAAATTTATTTTATGCTAATATATAAAGCAAAAATAGACCAAAGAAATCTTAACTTACTCAATTCACATGTTTATTCTAGTTTTGATGCTCTTTCAAGGACAAATGATCTCATGGGGAAAAATTGTAACATCATGAAACTCTATTCTTTGAATTTGAATCTTCCTATATAAGCTTGAACCAAGTGATGTCCTATTTACTTATGTGTTAAGGTTCATTTCTATGTGTGAAAAGTTTATTCAAAGTGGTTTTGGGTCATAAGATATCTCTAGTACTTAGTCGAGTTCAAATCTCCCTACCTGTTATGTTTTTTTATTAGTTCATGCAAGAGTCAGCTTCAAGTGATCATATCTCTCTGCATATCATGAATTATGTAGATCATAACCTATCAAATTGAAGGATTATGAATTTTTTTTCCAATGCCACCAAATTTGCCTTATTTAGTGTTCGGAGTATAGGTTATGACCGTTTTATCAAAGACTACCACTACATGTTTCAGAGCCAATGACCTACCAACCTCATCTACAGGTCACAGATGAAAGTACGACACGTACCATTCACTCATGGAAAAAAAGTCTTGGAAGTCATCTTTGGGTGCAATTCCTACGGACCCAGTTACGAATCATAGAAGTATCTACATGCCGTAGTTTTAGCCCATAGAATGAAGCTCTAAAACTCAAAATTTCAGTTTGTCTTCCACAAATAAAATCTACAATACACCAAAGCCTGTAGAAGGCATTGTGGAAGGTTTTTGACAACTTTTTATTTGGGATTTTTTAAATCTTTTCCCACTTTTTCTAATTCTAAGCCATTAAATTACGCTCATCTTAAAAAGGATTTTCACGCTCAAGATCAATTCCTTCACTTCAACCCTCTCAAACTTAGAAATATAATAAGCAAGATAGAAACTAGAGTTTCAATTCTTTCAAGCAAGTTTTTTTTTTCCAAATCTCAGTCTCTCAAGTATGTCAGGCTTTAGTGAGTGTATCACTTCACTCTCATGCCTAAAGTATTTTGATCTTCAACAATATTACTCTATATCTATAATCGAAGTTAGGGTTTTTTTTAATGAAATTATGTTCTTTCCTAAATAAGCTATGCTTTCATTGTTTCACTTTGATTTTGAGACCTTTTGGTACTGATTTAGTATGGCTTTTATGGTCATTAAAACCCTTGTGATTTTTAAGTCTTAAATCAAACCTGAAATGAATTAAAACCTAAACACATGTTATTTTCAAGATATGACTTTTGATCTTAACATCATTTATGATTTAAGATGATAAGAGGTTTATATACCTATGAGCATTTTATGAATATATGTTATTTTGGATGGACTATTTAGTATCGAGAGGATAGGGTTTAGAAAATTCAAGTCTCATAACTACGTGCCAACATAGAATTAAGTTTCCCTGCTTTATTTGTTGACCTTCTGGCCTTGAGAGGCTCAAATTAGTCGATCCACATATGATAAGATATGGTTCCACACTCTATCAAGGTATATGTCATCCCATCCAACTGGAATATAAGTTGTCATCGTAAGATCAAAGACGTATGTCAATTCTAAGGAACTCCTTAGTTATGCATTTATGATATGTTTTCAAATTATATGATTTATTCTAAATATGCTAGTTTTTATGTACAATTATGCAAGTTATTTACTTAGTACATTCAACATATTAACATATATATTTCTGTGTGATAAATCTTTTTTTGACACAAATTCCAACTTTTAGCACTCAAATTCGTGGTTAGTGCGTAGATTTTGGCATCTTAGTGAGGTTGCAGCTCTCCTGAATACATTTTGCGTAATACCTTGTACTCTGTAGTTAGGGATTGATTCACTTCAATATTTTCTTTCTTTTTTTGTTTTCTTTTTCAACATTTTGTATGGTGCGGTGGGGTTGATGCACCGGCCATATATAAGCTAAGGTTGCACCAATAATAATAATATTATGCTAAATTTTATGTGAACTTTATTCTTAAACATATATAAAAATTTAACTAATATAGATGGTTATCCCACTCTTGAAGTCTACGTTGTAGGCCCAAAACACTAATCTACATTATCTCTAAATATAGTTAATCTTGATACAACATCTTGAACATTTTCTAATAAAGGGATGGGTGGTAGGAATACATTTTTGTTTCCCACTCAATGTTAATATGTGATTGTGGTATTAAAAGTTTCGATTAAGTCAGATTCATATTGTCATTCTCCATTTTTAAAATTGATGTATGAGTCTTCTAAATAAAGATAGAAAGATCTTATTTATTTCTGCATAACCCTTTATAGTGATAGTGTAGATGACTATTTACATTATTTGAACATCATAGTTGAAGACCATCCAAAATTTTCCAATTCCATTTATGCTACTACACAAATAAATAATCAATCATAGTAATCTCAATTTTTTGCTTAATTAAATGCACATTGAAACTACTAGTTTGTTGTTGCTTGAATTAATTGCACATAGGCAATAAATAAACCTATTAGATTTTGTACCACGTAGTACTTAGCTAGTCAAGAAGTTGCAATTTTTAGCCTATCTACTCAACCTTCTTTTTTTCCAGGATAATTGGACTTAAAATGCTTTTATTATGTTTATTTTTGCATGCTAGTATCCTATTTTACTCCTTTATGAGAAAAAATAAATTGTACTTAAACATAGTTTTTTTATTCTTCAAATAACAGGTGTGACACACAAGATATTGTGGAAAGGTGAAGGACTTAAACATAGTTTTTTTATTCTTTAAATAACAGGTGTGACACACAAGATATTGTCGAAAGGTGAAGGACTAAAGCAAATATGTTATTTTAGAGGTGAATCAAAATTCTCAGATCACAAATCAGTTTACTCACTTTTTTCTTCTGTAAATAATAGTGTTATCTAAAAATTACCACAGTAAAAAATAATATTTATCTGTCTTTAGCTCAAAATCTTTTAAATAACACAACGGCTCAATCCAACTCAACCCGTTATAGCTATTGACAGTTCGTTATATGGGGCCGGATAAAGTGACATGTCCGTAACCGTGTGCTCTATGTCAAACGTAATGGGGTTTTAACACGTGGCAATCAAGAAACGATGTTCATATTTTTTTATTTTTTTTAAATTACAATTTTCTATATTTTGTTTTTTTATTATTAGTATTATTATTTTTATTTTGTGTTTGGGTTAGGAAAATTGGGAAATGAAGAAAAGTAAAGTTGGAAGGCTTAATTAAGCACATGTAAAAAGGAGTTTTTTCTTTCTTTCTGTTTTTTTTTTATTTTGTTGAAATATTTTAGTTGAGGAACTTTAGGGAACAACAGCCTAATGGCCTAGTCAATTTTGTAATATTAATTTCAATGGAGTGATTTCTAAATTCTGAAAAAGTAGAGTGGATCATATTGAATTTATATGTATTGTTTTTTTTAGATAATTATTATTATTTTACTTAGAGAAAAATGATAAATATATTTTTGAACTATTGTTAATGATCTCTAAATATCCTCAATTATATTTTTAGGACACTAATTCCCTTATCATCTAATAATTAGAGTGTATATACCCTCTGGCCTAAAGAAGAACTACATGTTGCGATTTTAACGACCTATCCAAATTTTATATAATTTTAACCC